GAGAGGGACAGACAGACACACTCTTCAGGGCACACAGATAAACACAAATAGGCTTTACATCTTCCTCCCCTAAATCCTTAGACTGGCAAAAAACTGCAATCTGTTTGAGGGTGGTGGGGGTTGAAGCTATGAAAAGTGGTAATAGAATGAATGATTTAAAGAGTCTGAGCAAAATGGCAGATTTTCTAACTTGTTGAAAAAAATTAAACATTTTTACAGAAAAAAATGTTTCAGTATTTTAGTCACTGATGTTACAGAAGCTGTAATGACTGAATTGGCTCCGAATATCAACACAGCACATCAACTGTTACTTGGAACAGACTGAGAGAATTTCTTTTTAATAAAATGCTCAGTCTACCCAAGGGAACCGTCAGGGCAAAAGGGCGAACCATTTATCTGCTTTGCATGTTAATGCCAGCCTATCCTTGGTGCCAGAGGGCTGGGAAGATAGATGAGGTGGGTGGACTGGAAAGCAGTAGAAGAGGTTGGTGTGATTTGAAGCCTGTCAAGTGCTTCTACAGAAGACAATTGCTTAAGGATATATCTGAAGCCAAAATCCCCTTAGAAAACCTCAGAACTGGCCTGGCCTGGAATAGAACCAATACCACCTGTCCCTAGACTCCAGCTCTGAGCTCTGCTCAGCCACAGTCGTGCCACCAACGCACACTGTTTACAAGGCCCTGCAGAAGAGATGCGACAGTCTCGCCTCGCCTCGCCTCCTGTCGCCTCTCCTTCCTTCCTGGCCCGTCCCTCTTAGTCCTCTTCAGCCGGAGAGTCGAGAGCAGCGGAGGAGCTGGGGACCCTGCGACGCACGACGCTGGGACTAGGCCCCCCACAGCAATCTCCACCCTGCCTTCGCCCCCTCTGCAGGCCGCAAGCCGGGCGCCCGCGCGTGGACGGGCTCGAGCGCTCGCCGACTGCGCGGACACGGCGCCCGGAGCCTGGGACATCATTACCTGTCGCCGGGACCTGCGGACGCGCAGCCCGAGCAGCCCGAGAGGCCACAGGCAACAATGGCGGCGGCGTCGCGGGCGCCTGCGTGGCGGGCTCGGTGCCGAGCCGCACAGGGTCTTCTGCTCCGCCGCGTCCCTTCCCCAGAAAGCACAGCGTGTCTTGGCCAGGTGCCGCACGCCCCAGCCCGGACCTGAGAAACCCGGCCCGGAATCCCCGGCGCTTCGGCTTAGCGGCGACCTCGCCTTGGCGCCACTGCGCATGTGCGCCGGGAGAGCGCTGCGCGCCCGCAGAGCCAATCGGAGCTCGGGCTCCGGCCTCCCCCCCGCGGGTCGCGGGCCCTGGACCTGTCTCCATGGCAACCTCCTCCACCCATCCCCGAGACTGGCCTGTCAGCCTGCCCGCAGGGTTCTGAAGCGAACTTGAAAGTTTCTCTGGGCAGGCACAGGTCTGGTAGACAACTTGGAGGTCGGGGAGGTACTAGCAGGTGGGGGAACGTAAGGGAGTTGAAGCCTCGCACCAACTAGGCAGAGAAAACCGGGTGCCAGAGTTGCTAGAGGAAGTTGCTAAAGGAAGGATGGGCAGGGAAGGAAGATGCGACCCAAAGGCAGGAGACGTAACGTGCTGGCTCAGCTTCACTGTGCGTCAACCTCACCGTGACGGTTCTGAGTCCCTCCTCACCAGTCTGAATCTGAGACTCAGGTTGGAAAGAGAAGAACATGCTATTTATAAGAGACACAAACAAAAATACATACAACGCTAGTAAAATAAAAGGATAGAGAAACACATTCCAGGTTTTCCTACTATCTACTTCTCTGTTAACAAATCACCACCAAACTTTTAAAGAACAACCGCCTTGTTATGCTCACGGGTTCTGCGAGTCAGAAATTTGGAAGAATAGCACGGGTTTCTCTTCTTTGCCTCGCTGTGTCTGTAGCCTCTGTTGAGATGATCTGATGGCTGGGAGGGCCCACTTCCGAGATGACTTTTTCACTCACATGTTTAGGCTCAGGAGGAGAAGGGTGAAAGATGAACTCAGCTTGGACTTGAGCAGAGTGCCTACGTGTGGTCTTTCCAGCATAAAGGACTCAGAGAAGTTGGCTCTGGACTCCCAAGAATGAGTATCCCAGTGAACAAGGGAGAAATTCCTTGGCTGACTGTGATATGGATCGGAAGTCACCTAGCACCAATTCTATCATATTCTTGGTCAAAGCAGTCACAAGCCTTCACGGAATCAAACAGAAGTAGATGTAGACCCCAGGGAGAGGGTGTCAGAGAATCTAATATCACCATATTAGGAAAAATATAACAAAAAGGAAGCTGGGGAATGTAATGGTCATTTGATGTATCAATTTGTCTAGGCTGACAAATTATTACTGTTATTCAAGTAAACATTAATCTATTTGTTGCTGTAAAGACAGTAGCTGTTATTGAAGTCTATAAACTCAGTCGAATTAAGTATAGGCCATTATCCTAGATAATTTGGGAGGATCCAATTTGGTTAAAAAACAGAACTGAGTCTTCCCTGAAGAAGAAACTCCATCAATGTACAAAAGCTTCCAGCCTGCCCTTCTCGATGGGCTGCTCTTATCACCTTTGATCTTGCCTAGTCAGTCTTGTAAATATTTCAGTGTACTGATTCTGATTTTAGGGCTGAACCCTTACTGATACAAGCAATAATCCTAATCTCTGGCAAACTGGAATTTAACAAGATCACAGGGGGAATAAATAAGAATGATATACACCCATAAAGGGAAAAACTAGGCTAGGTGTGGTGGCTCAAGCCTGTAGTCCTAGCACTTCAGGAGACTGAGGTGGGAGGATTGCTGGAAGCCAGGAGCTCAAAACCAGCCTTAACATGGCAAGATCCTGAGTCTATTAAGAAAAAAGAAGAAAAGTTAACAGAGAAGATATATTCATCATAATTACATAGTATGTCCCCAGCAATAATGCCTCCAAATATATGAAGCAATAACTGATGCAACTGTATGGAGCAAAACACAAGTCAACAACTGAAGCTGGAAAATAGGATATATGCCCAAGTTTGTGTGCTGCCAGGATCCACCTTTGTGACAGAGGCATCCATATCTCCAGCTGCCAGAATATTTACTTGCTCAGAAGGCTCACACCTTTTTAGAAGTTGTCTTGGCTGCAGGAAGCTGCCTCTCACAAGCTACATCTTCTCTCCAGGGCCGTCCACATCCAAAACCTGCTCAGTGCAAGAGTTCAAAGACCTGGTCCTCTCACCTCAACTTGCATCCTCTCTAAAGGGCCATCGTGACTTGAGAGTTCCCCCGAGACCAAATGAGGCCTCTGCTGCACATCACTTCATCTCATTCCTCCACCTAGTCCTCCTTATGTCATTCCTACATAGGTTTTTGTTTGTTTGTTGCTTTTTTTCTTTTTTAGAGAACACTATCCAATAATTACCCCACATGCAATTCTCCATCTCAGAATCTGTTTCCAGGGAGTCTGCCCTCTTACAGTTGGTACCAGAAGTATCCTAAGAAAGGAAACTCTAAAGTAAAGTTGTGGAGCTGAGTTACCTCCCCCCTTGCTGGCAATGAGGGCCCTATCACTTGTAATTGGTATAGAACAGATAACACACAGAGTGTAGCAGTGTAATTGTTAAAATTGTCACTGGTGTTTAACTGGGGTGGGATATGGATGAAAGGGTATGCACAGGGTGCTATACCTCAGATCTTTGTGACACTGAGGGAAGTAGCAATTCTAAGAACTATGAAATTTAATGGCTATTACTAGGAGATACAAGGAAAGGCTGGGGTGATTAATGAACAATTTAAGGGAAAATATGAGAATCAGAGAGGGCTTCTGGAATTCTGGTAGTAAAAGAGCTAAGAATCAGGCACTAGAATTATGTTGTAAGCTTAGGTTGAATTCCCCACCCCCAGAAAGTTCCATATGCCAAGGTCATAACCCTGCTTGGAAAGCAGCACAACTCTGAGGCTTGAGAGGGGGATGTTTGATTCATGCCTGCAAAGACCTTGAAATATCAATCCCTCTGAATTTTCTGGGCTTGTGAAAAGTGGCCCATTCCTCCAAGTCTAAACCTAGTTCTCTGCCTTGCTTGAGATGGAGGCCTCTACAAATGCAATAGAACCCATGTCCCTGTCAGGATCTGTCTACCCTTTTCTCATCTCCTAACCACTAGCTCAATAGCTAGGATTAAGGCACCCCAAACTAACAGAGGTGACTTATCAGGGCTAAGCCTGATAAGCGAGGAGAAGAATTATCCCCTGAAGTTACTGCAGGCTCTGCTGGAACCAGGGCAGTATATGAGGGACTGGACGCAGAAGATGCTCGATCAAGGAAGGCAGAACATGCAGTTGCGTTCCAGAGAGTTTGTTGAAAAGGTGCACAATGGTGTGATGCATGATTTCAACACTCTCGCAAGGATGTCGGGAGATGGGCTTTTGGAAGATTAGAGAAATAGACATGCACACTAGGCAGGAATGCCAGAATTGTTTGACAAAAGCTAAAAGAAGGGATTAGGAGACTTAGAGAACTGGACATACTAAAGTAGGCAAGGTATGTAACACAGGAAAACTTACCAGTGCACTATATTTCACTGGATGGTTCAGAAGATGATCTGTTGAGTTAAAGATTATGTTGGTGATAGGGCTGCCAGCATCACTGGGAACATCTGTAGGGGCCGCCTGTCCTTGATAGGCTGAAGCTGACAGGGGATTTGTTACAGAACTGGGCTGCCTGAGGATGGCACATAACCTTCATTAACAAGGTGAAATCACTTAGCATAATGAGCAATAAGATCGAAGTAGAAGTTGGGTACTGCAAGGAGGGAAGAGGTGTTTTATTTTCACAGTGCTATGGGGAATATTAATAGAACATGGGCAGATAACAGGGGTAGTAATCAATCTGCACAATCAAAGAAAATAAAGCGTGGATGATTGAGAAACTGAAGCTAAAAAAATATAATAATCTTTTGCTCCATTTCCAAGTGGAAACTGATTTGGGTCAATTTTCAGACTCAAAACCTCCAGAAGCCAGGACCCTGCCTCACCACGGCACATATATGTAGTAATGGTAACTATTTTCCTAGCCTACCCACAAAGGGACCTATAATTATTTATACTGGTAAGAGAAGAGTTTGTACAGTTTCAAGGCTGCTGGATATCAAGTCTGAGTGGTCATCAATACTTAGGGACCTGAAGCAACATGATAACTTCTATACCAGAACGGAGGAATTTGGGAACCAGGTAATGAATGGAAGTCTGTTTCATGGATGGTCCATAGGTCTGTCCTATGAAGCGGTAACTACCCGAGACCCTGAATGCATAATTGGAATGGATGAACTCATAGTTGGTAAACCAGATTGGTTCCATGGCCTATAGGATAAAAGCTAGCAAGATGGGGAAGACCAAGTGGAATACTCTGAAACTACCTCACTGCTCTTTACATGGCCCATATACAAACCAAAAAGAGCATCACATTCCAGATGGGAGGGCAGAGATTCACAACCCTCTTAACAACCTCAAGCGTACAGGGTGGATTTTCTAATTGCACCTCCATTTGTTCGGTTGGGTCCTTTCAAAACCCACATGAATTCTAGAAAATGACAGTGAATTAACACCAAAATCAAGCAAGAATTTTGCTCCAATTACTTCACTAGAACAGATGAAGTCATCATGAAGTACATAATATTCAGCCTTTGCTCTGGGAAATATGTTCATCTGCCAGACCTGCAAGAAGTGGCATGCATGTGGATGCCAGGGTGGAGACAAATCCTGTAAAATTTCATGTGCTTGGCACAGTAATAAAATTTTAGGAGCCCAGAGGAATGGGGGTATGTCAACAATTCCTTCCGATGTAAATGATGGTTTAGTGAGTCTCACACTCCCACTTCTTAACAAGAAAGCACCATTCCTTTGAATTCTGAAGGCAGAACATTCTAACTTGAATAAGCTGTTCTAACCCAAATATTACATAAGGTGGACTGCTGCCAAGTCTGAGTGGGGCTCAGAGTCAGAAAAGTCTGGGCAGCAGGTTTCAAGCAGCACTTCCCTGGACCTATTAGCCCTGTGGTATTAGAGATATCTGAGTGGAATTACCATGCAAATCATGGCACAGACCCCAGAGGTGTGGTACAGGTCATGTCATTCTCATCCAAGAATTACACACCATTTGAAAATCAGCTCCTGGTGGCAGGTTGTAGTGGCTCACACCTGCAATCCTAGCACTTTGGGAGGCTGAGGTGGGATGATCACTTCAGGCTAGCACATTA